TCCCACGGCTCCCCTCCCTGACCCAGAGTCCCTCCCCAGCTCTCCTGGAGCCCCTTTAGGCACTGGAAGGGGCTCTGAGCTCTCCCCTTTTTGGCCTTCTCTTCTCCAGGCTGAACCCCCCCACCTCTCCCAGCCTGTCCTCCCAGCAGAGGGGCTCCAGCCCTCCCAGCATCTCCGGGGCCTCCTCTGGACCCACTCCAACATGTCCTTTTTGTGCCAAGGACTCCAAAGCCGGAGTCCTCAGCGACCGTGACGTGCATATGCTGGGGGAAAATGCACATTTTTAACAAGAGAGAAACTGGAGGTGTACAGACAGCAGCTTGGGGAGGGATGAATAGAGGTGCAGAAGAGAAAGCTCGAAAGGATGTTCTTGCAGAGAGCGAGTAGGTGTCAGCTCAGGGTTGGAGCAGTGTAACACGGCTGCAGACTGATGGAAAGGGAGCCAAAGCGGAGAGGAGCACAGGGAGAGAAATGAGATGGATCACAGGAGGGCTGGGGGCTGAAGTTCAGAAGAGGTCCTGGTGTGCACTAGATGTACCTGTGCTTTGCCTGAGGTCTGGCGCCTCTGCTGCTGCCTCCTTGGTGGGACCTCGGGCAAACAGATCTTAGAGCTCCTCTGAGCGACCCTCAGTTTAAAATCCACCTTTTGCATCCCAGTCCCTGACTAATTGCTTAGAAGAGTGCGTGGTTTTCAGGAGTTCTTGATTTTCCTCCTGGTTGGCACGCAGATCCCCTTTGAAACTTGAGCTGGGGTGAAGTAGGAGCGTCTCCCGACACGCACAAGCGGACTGTTCCCCATCAGTGACACTGGCCAGGGAGAGGCGCGGTGGAAATGCTGTGCAGGAGGGTCTCCTCCTCTCAGCTCCTGACCCCAACGTGACGCCGGCTTGCTTTCCTTCTCCTGGGTTGGGAAGAAGCTCCAGTTGTGATACGGGGATGGTGCAGGAGGCCGGTGGTGAGAGCCTGGTCTCCGGTTCTTCCCAGCTCGCAGCAGATGGGCTGCGCTTTCAGGGGAGCGATAAACGGCACAGACAGAATCGCAGACTGGTGAGGGCTGGAAGGGCCCTCTGGAGCTCCCCCGTCCCACCCCCCACCAGAGCAGGGGCACCTCCAGCAGTGGCACAGGACGGCGTCCAGGCGGGTTTGGGATGGCTCCAG